GGGCGCGCCAGGCCCGACATACGCAGGGCGGCCGAGCGCACGGGGCGGGTGGACCGAAGGAGTCTCTCCAGGAGCGCAATGCTCGGTTAGGTCCAGCCAGCCCTTCCACCCCACCCGTCCGTCCCACCCCACATAGGATACCCTTGGCTTTTCCTAAAATCGCACGTTTCTGTTTTCCCAACCCGGCCGCCGGGGAGCTTTCACCCCGTCCTTCTCCAAAACCATCGTCAATTCACAAATCAAAATGAAGGATGTGCTCTCTGCCTTTCCTTAGGTGGTACCCCGGCCCCAGGGAGCATCTTCGGTAATCTCGGAGCGGGACCCTATTTTGCCCTAAAGCCCAAATCTGACGTCTTTTCAAAAAAGCTAACCACGAAGTGTCAAATGCCGTCGCACGCATGTTCAATAACCTTAATAAAAATGGACCTGGTAGGTCCATTTTTTATAGGGAAAAATCTCTCAGAGATTTTACATGAGATGAGTGAATTAGGCTTAAATGTTTTCTCTTCCCACAACCACATCTGAATTCAGCTCCTGCCCTTTCTTGCCAATTCCCAGGATGTGAAAATCTATCATTTTATCAAGACCATATGGTACCAGCTCATCTCAAATCACTCAGTCCCTAAATTGGTGTTGAAAGCACAAAATCGAATTGAGGCCTCCAATCTGTGTCTCCAAAATGGTAAAATCCAACCACAACCAAATCAAAGACGTGAGACTCTAGAAGACAAATTATTTGGAACCGGTAATCCAAGGGCCACCGATAAAAACTCATTTTTAAACGGCAGTCTCTCCATGAAACGTGTTGGCACTTTGAGGGCTCCTCTTTCCAATAAAAGCTGAGAAAATATTTCCCTTAAAAGGCTCTGAATGAGCTTTCTTTTTAACAATTGGATAAGGAGCTGTTATATGTTTCTCTCCTAACTCCAATCCACTCACTGTCCTTGAAATTATCTAGGAGGAATCGCTGGTGGGCTCAAATTGGCCACCTGATGGGTTCACAGCTCAACTCTTGAACTTCTCCACCACTAGAGCTCTCAGAGGTTCCTTCCAAGAAGACACCTACATCAAGGGACATGTCACCTGGAACCTTGGGCTTAAGGTTCCTTCCCATTGTCTTCTGGAGCAGTCTGAGCCACAGAGCCCTGCAGCACAGGGTAACACTGCCTTGCCCCATAGGGTTTTCAAGGCTGTAATCTTTATAGAAGCGGGCTTCTGCATCTTTCTTCCACAGAGCCACAAGTGGATTCAACTGTCCTTTAGTAGGGAAACACTTAAATTCTGTGCCACCAAAGCACCTTGGTTGAGGGTGTCAGGCCTGGAAATCACCTCGTGTGGTTATCCAGTACACAGATTTGCTATTTGATTTCTTTTCTTTGTCTTTATGCTGATGTTGTTATGTGCTGTTGAAGTGGAACTCAGAGCTGACACTCCACTAGGTTTTCAGAAACTATAAACAGGAGGAGATTGCCTATCTTGCTCTCCCACGCAGTGGTTGGTGGATTTGAACCACTTGCTTACTTGCCTTTGGGTTGGCAAAGCAACTCCTTACCCACTAGGCCATCAGAGCTCTCCTCTTAAAGCATATCCCTGGTGCTTAACCTCCAAGTGAAGTTTATTTTTTTCTTTTGTCACCAGAAGTGAGTTAGTTCCTTAATTGAACATCAGTATCAAAGATATCCATTCCTTTCTGATATGTAAAGATGCATTTTGAAAAGAAGAAGGAATGCTTCTGACTCCAATTTTAAATTTGTATTAGCAATTCAACATTTAACTTTTACCTTTAAATCACTACCTTCATCTTATAAGTAGCCTATTTCTCCTAATATTGACTGATTTCTGGAAGAATAGTTGATAAAAAAAAGCAGGTAGTATCATCAACAGCGATGGAGACCAAGGATTAAGGGTTTGGTTACTTTCTAAAAACCCTTGATTGGTTCTAACCCACCAGTTTCTTTGAAGAATAGCCCAGTGGGATTGGCTGTGAGTCAGAATGGGCTCAATGGCATCTAACAATAACATTCGTCTAGATACAATTAAGAGGAAGCTCTAGTGGTCTAATGGGTAGGGAGTTGTGCTGCTAACCAAAAGGCAGTTGGTTCAATTCCAATGGTTGCCACAAGAGAAAGATGGGCTATCACCTATGTGCTTCACAATCTCTGAAAACCTGTTGGAAGGTGAACGATGAGTCCTCCTGGACAGCCATGCAGTGAGATAAGTATAATTATGATGGAATCAAGTCACAAGCGAGTTAATTCCTGATCAGCTCCTTTGCCTTCTTTTCTTTCCAGTTTTTTGTGAAATGGAAAATAAATAGGTAGGAAAACAACCACAGGGTGGCACATTTTCGTACTGCTCAGACCAGGAAGCTGGGAAAGAGAATCAGCAGTGTGTTGTCTCTGCCTCAAAAACACCAGTGTGATGATGGATAACACTGCTATGAACATTGGTGTACAAATCTCTATTCGTGTCTCAGTTGTAATTTTTTTTTCAGTTGTAATTTTCTTGGGGTATATAGCCAGTAGTGGAATAAAACAGACCAAATATCCAACCACAACCGACTGCATTGAGAAATTGTGGTACATTCACACAATGGAATACCACACAGCATTCAGGAGTAAGGATATTGAAAAATACTACGTAACTTGGGGGAAGTTGGAGAACATCCTGCTGAGTGAGCTAATGCAGTCTCATAAGAACAAATATTGCATAAGACCATCATTGTAAAAATACAAGGATAATTAGTAAAACACGTACAGGAACTCAGAGGGGGTTGGGAGGGAGCAGAAGGGGGAGGGTGGGTAGGGGTGAAACCACAGGGTTGCACAGTTTGGTGAGTGGACGGAGTGTAAGGGAAGGCAATGGGAAGGATCTGGGTGAAAAGACAGGGTAATGATGGCCAAGGTCCAATGGTGATTAGTTTTATAAAACATAATGCATGAGAATGACTGTATGAAACACAATGTGAATGAAGAATAGTGTGAAACACAGTGTATATAAACTTTGTAAGCAAACCAATAAAAAACCCAAAAAAATAAACAACAAAATGCTTCAAGTGGACTGAGAGGCTTGTTTTGGTGCTGCTGAGCCCAGTGCATAAGGAGTTAATTTGCTCTGAGACTCGCAGGGCCCCAAGCCTGAGGACACTCCTGGTTTAAATTCCCTCCAGAGAATTAATCTGTTGAGATTGCAAATTAACTCTTTCTGAAAGAGCTTCGTTGCACAAAGACAGACTCTATTAAAGTCAAACCAAATAGAACTGCAAGAGTACTGACTTGATGGCTCCAGAAATTAAATCTTTTGAAGCTTCATTAAACAGCTAAATAAATAAAGGGGGAGGGGGAGTGGAGAAGGAATGAAAACCCAGGGCTAGAGTGAAAATTTCAGAAGAGAGATGGAAATACAGTCAGGAAGAAAAGAAATCCCTAGAACAAAAACAAATCCTGATTCTGACTCAGTAAGTTCCTTTTAGCACTAAGATGGAGGGAGAGATATTGACTATCTGGCAAAAAGAGAAAACTATTATTTATATTGTCTTTTTCTTTGAGCCTAATGATGTTATTGATGGCTCACTGACAGAGGATTTAAGATTTGGATTAATTTCTGCAGCCCAGAATAGAAGTGTTTGTGCCCAGCTACCAGACAGTCCTATAGTTTCTGCTATGACCAGAGAAATGAATGGTTAAAGCTGGGAATGTAGACTGTGGTTGGGGAGCCATGTGGTTTTCTGATTTAACCATAGCCTTGGCCTCACCAGCCACATCCTTCAACCCACTAAACCCCAAACCCAAGGAGACCGAAAATGATACGACAGGACATTGCCTTCCCTGGGAAAAGATAGAGGAACAGATGTTTATCCTAAAAACCATTTTCCCTCATGGGACAAGCAAATTCTCTGTTCCATTCAAATAACAACATTTACATTAACTGCAGAGAGCAGACCTTATTTCTCAGTATTGCCAAAGGACAACAAGATTACCGAGTACAGATCATTTCTGTCTTCACAAAGCTATACTTACCCAGCTTAAATATTCCAGACCAAGTTTATCCTCGCCTCCATGATGGTGGCCAACCTATTAAACCCCAAATCTTGACATCTCTAACTCCAGCAGAGTATACATGGGCTCTGGGAGCCCTTTATCTCCTTCACATGGTTTTGAAAACAGGATATTATCTGGAATGAGTTTTTCTAGGACCTACTTACATTCCCTCACCCTCAGTTTTCCCACTATCTACACATACTCTGTTGTGGATTTTGCTCAATAAACTTAATCCTAATCTAGTTAGTTCCTCTTGTCAACAAGCGATGGTTTGGGAAGGCCACCTCCACCGACTGCGGTTGGTATGTGCCAAGGGAATGCATGCTAATTTTGCCTAAGCTAAACCAAAACATAATTAGAAAATTAGATCTGCCTCATAGGAAGGAAGCCAGAACGAAACATAAATATGTCATTGCAATCACTTTCAGCCCCTTTAAAGTAGTCCCACTTTGAGCTTGGAACTACGTGTGGACATTTAGTTGCTGAAGTGAGGCCCAGATGAGAGATTTTATCAAGAGGTCAAGAAGATAGTAAGAACATTATTCCCCAGTCTAGTCAGTCTAAGAGCAGAAATTGGGTTTATTGAATGTTTTTAAAAAAATTTAAGCCGTTACCCTTTGGCTTGGACTCTTATCTGCAGAAATCATTTACAAGAGCAAGTCCCGGTGTGGGAGGATTCTCTAGTGCAAAGCCATGATGGGAAAAACAAGACTGACAAAGGAATCTGACCCACTGCTGCT